GTGCCACATATTTTTATGCATAAGAATTTTGTATTTGTTACATTCAACTGCAACTTATCTATAAAGTGAAATAATTTTCAAGTAAACTGAACATATATCTGCAGTATCTGTTACCAATTACTTTTTAAGCATTATCCAGATGAGCACGTGGAGGCTGAGACTCAAAAAATTGTTTTCCATTAGTCACTGTCAGTCTGTGGATATTTGAGAAGCTCATAAGTTGTTTCTTTCATCTTTGACTTGCAACAATTCCAGCAAATAATTGATAAATTATTTGCTAAACCTTATACTGTTTTATTTTCGGCATTCAACTAAAGTTTCCATGCATGTATATACCCATGTGCTTGTACATGTATACTTATTTGTTAAACAGATAAACATAATTTGGCTGTTATAATGTTCAAACTCAAGTTTGAAAAACCTACTGAAGTTATACTGGCTTTATGCAAGCCAATGCCAATATCACTCATGACAAATGAATGGCATTCATACCTTTATTGTTGCTGCTATTCTTTCATTTATGTCAGAGGATCTGCCACTTGTACTCCGGTTGCAAACAGTGGGAAAATTCCCAGCTTTCTTTCAGCCTTAAGAGACTATTTCTGAGATCTTGGAATATATAGGTAGAACTTGATGCAATTTCCTTTAACAATAGGATGAGAATTTGGAAGAGGAAGTCAGACACTAAGGGCTGAACTGTTGCCCAACCCCCCAAAATTTCCTGAGGGAGGTGGTAACAAAATGGCTAGGGGAAAAAGTGGTGCAGGGTGGGTGGGAACTGAAAAGAGTCAACAGCACATATCTTTGTGGAATGCAGGAAGAAATGGAAGATATTGTAGAAAAGTAGAGCTGGAGTATAAGAATGCGTCCTGAAGAAGAAAAGGAAAGAAACTGGCAAATGTAAATTATAAATAGAATTGTCTATCAGATAATGCTAAAGTGTGTGAGTCAGCTCTCCTGTATTAGTTCCCTATCTGCCTTTCACCAAGTGATCTTGAAAAAGATGCATTCCCTTTTAGTGCTTCAGCTTTCTTATCAGCAAAACAAGGACATAAAATGAGAGTATCCCAGAGAGCTGCAAAGACCTTTAATTTGTGATACAGAAGTAATGATGCTAATCTTCAACTATTAGAGAACAAAAAATTCCTTTCTTTTTTACTATTTGTTATGCAAATGCCCAGTACCATAACTGAGAAAAGTTCCATTGTTGCATAGTACCGTACAAAAACATCGAAAGAAAAAAATTCTCACACTGAAATATCAGAATATGAGAGATATGAAAAATTATGAGAAAAGCAAAGGTACACATCAACTTCACAACTTATAAGCATATGTGCTGTAATAGTTTCTTTCTGTGTGTGAGGATGGAGAACTCTGGTACAAATAGAAGCAGGGTGGAATTAACATTGTTCTTAATTTCAGAACTGTCATTCAGCAAGAAAACAAACACTGAAGTTTTGAGAAACAGACTGAGAGACCACAGAAATTGGAAACAATGAAAAATCTGAGTGTTTTTCCCAAAAACAGATAGTGTGAGATAAGTACCTTTAATGAAAAAAAATAATAATAATAAAAAAAATAATTTGTTCCAAACAGGAATGAAGACAGGCTTCTGAAATTTGAAAATGGTCCAAAGTGACAAAAGCAACCAAGAGAAATGAAGAGAAGTTCACAACAAAGAAAAAAATCCACAATTTGAGAAACACCAAAACACGTGTCAGGAGTGGAAATTAAAAGCCTAGCAGCAGGTATGGTTTAGAATTTACTTTCATGTTTCTTACCTTCTAATTCTTGCATAATACTAAGATTTTCTTTGTTGTTCCCAATGAAATGGCCCACCAGATGCATCAGGTATATAACAGACTTGTAGAATTACTTCCTTCCCATGCTCAGACTAGATAAGTATACTTTAAGAGGAGAGAGCATTGAAATTCCTCTGCTTTCTGGATTCTAAAAGGTATTGTAATATGTTTCTCAGATCGAGGAGGCACATGATGCTTTGGAAGACTAAATAAACCTCTGGAGACAACAGTCTCCTTTCTCATCTAAACTATTTCACAGGGATGTTTGATTCACAAGGGTAAGAGCATTTTCAATGTATATCCCCTGTGCTCTTCAAGGTTTTAATTTTAGTAGGTTTTAATCTAGCACTTACTTTGTTTGTCTGATTCCTATTTAGGTTCTCCATCAAAAAATGATATTCTTTCATACTAGCACCACACAGCTTTGGCCAGGTTCCAAGGCTTTTTAAGACATGATTCAATGGGTTGCTATATAGATAATTTATGCAGAAATTACTGTCAGTCTCATGGGCAGCTACCGAGTCTCACTGTGATTGTAACTAATAACTATTACCAAGATATGATAATTTCATTTAACTTTAGGAAACCATCTGATGCCTTCATTTCTTGTTGTAACATAATGCCACCACTTTACTCAATCCACTCTCACTAAAACAAGACAAAACAGCTAAGGAAAAACATATACACAGATGATAAATTTATCCTCTCAATCATCTTTTAGACTACTAAAATCTAATCTGAGCTTCTATGTAATGAAGGCTATGTATTTAATTGAGTAGCTTCTAAATCAAAAGTATAACATTTGGGCTACGTTGTATCTATTTTCCTCACAAGGGCTGCAAGTGATGGATGAATCCAGCCCAATCCTAGATAAATTGTACCAGTGATTAATTACTCCCACTCTTAAAAAATTACACCTTAGTTCTAGTCTGAATTTGCATAACTTCAACTTTGAAACATTGGATCTCATTATGCCCTTTTCTGGTAGATTAAACAGTCATCTGCTGTCAAAAATTTCATTCCCATTAAGGCACTTACAGACCATGATCAAGTCACCTCTTAACCTTCTCTTCAGCAGATTAAACAGACATATCTTCTTTAGCCTCTAACTACAATGTTTATTTCCAGACCTACAGTCATTCTTCCACCTTTAATGAACTCTTTCCAGTTTTAGACATATTTTCAAAGTATGGTCACCAGAACAGGACACAACAGCTCATAAATTGTTTTGCTAATGCCGTATAAAAATTGTTTTGCTAATCCTACCTGATATTCACTTGTCTATATATCAGATAATATAATATATACCATTTAAAACTCTCCTTTAGTTTACTGATAAACCAGAAAGTATTCTGAAAGGAATTTAAAGCATGAATATTTATCCTGGGTTTTTTTACACACAATGCAGAAAATGTATGCAACTCTTCTGTCTTTTCTATACTGTTTATAGTTTTCCATACTACCTAAATCCAGTATCACTTCTGTCACTTAAGTTATTTTTATGTTAGTTTCTGTCTTCCTTTGTCAGTTTCGTGTTCTCAAGTGCTCTTTATGTTCTTATTTAGTAGCAGTATCTCTGAGCTGTTCAACTCCAGTAGTACTTTTTAAGGCAATTCCACTTACAGTTTTATTTTAAATTATTTTCCTGTATTTTCATTTTCTTCATGTAGGGAAAAAAGGAAATTACATTTCAGAAGCAATTTGCTTTTACAAAATAGAAGCATATTTCGAAAACACACAAATACATATGTACTATGTTGACCTGAACTATAGTATTCTATTTTCTGATAACTCAACTTCATTAGGTAGAAATACCTAACTTTACCATAAAGTTTACTCTAACAGATAGACTAAACATATGTTTTGGTTTATCTTTCATGAAATATATGTTTAATTAGATTGTGTCCCTTACACAGGTAGTTCTATTGAATAGTATTTACATCAAACTATCACTGATTTCCACCTGGAAGTTGCTTCAGACACCTAATGAATTAAATGAGATTATATAGTTTTCATTTACTTTTCTTTTTAAGCATGATTTTCCATTACTGGCTGGACTACAAGAACAGTTGTAGCTACTTCTAATGTTGCCTCTGTGTGGGGTGTGCAATTGCTATTTCATTAGAACTAAGTCCTCTCTAGGACTTCTTGGATACAATAAGCTAGGCAAACACAAAATATATCTGGATAAATAGGAACATAAGAAAAAAAAAAAAAAGAGCAGAATAAAAGAATTGTGGAAAAAAGGGAGCAATATATTAATATGCAAAAGAGGAAAACATCCAGAGAAAGATAAATAGTCTCTGTGCACTTAAAAACCCCACAGATTATGTGCACACACACAAAAAAAAAGGAAAAACAGTGAATAAAAGAGAAAAGTAAGGATGAGGAGAAGGAAAACTAAAAGTTAAGAAGGTGCAGAGAAAAGTGCTTCTGGTAAGCAGAAGAAAAGACACTGCTAATTTAAACTTGCTTCCTAATATCTGAGAGTCCACAGTTTGAATCTGAATTAGAACAAGTTCAAAGATTTCTGCCAGACAAAAATGAAAATAAAGCCCTGCAGTGTTTTCTGGTAATGCAATAGATATTTCATGTCATTTCTTTATGTCCTGAGACTTAAATAATTTTGACTCTTTTAAAAACCTCAATCTTTAAACTCTCAGTGTTACTTATTTTAATTGCTTCACATATTTCCTGACATTAAGAGACCCCTAGCTGATTAGTTAATTCTATTAACTTCATCACTCCTTTTCCAACAAACATTCTGGAGAATAAATTCAGAATCTTCCCAATGTATGCTATAAGTTAAGCAGCCTAAAACATTCCAACATACTGAAGTTGAACTGTTTTTTATTTCCAAGCAGAAGCTGAAAGCCCTATAATTATTTTTAAAAACTAAAAACGTATGTATACTTTGATTGGCTCTAAGGTCTTAAGATTATATAGTGAATATTTAGCCTTAATATCTAAACAAATTTTGCACTCTCTGAATCTGATGATGGGAACTGAATACACATTATTTCCCATGAGAGATTTTTGCATTTGCTTCCTTTGCTATCTTGCAAATCCTCGAAAAAGTGATTTTCACTGTTTTATTGGCAACTGTGGGATTCATATCCATTGCTCCTCAGCAAAGTGGGGAAAACTTCCCCCCCATAATTGGGATATAGGATCTTTCCAAACAGAATATAAGCTTACCTTGAAGAAAGTCATGGTTGCTCCATCTTCAACTGCTCCATACTCTATCTTTGTTTGCTTGGCCAAATCATCAGCAGAATCAATAGGGGATTCCATACGTTCCACTGTCAGAAAGGCTGCTAGGTTAGCAGTGTACGAGGAAATGATGATAAGTGTGAAAAACCACCAAATGCCTCCCACTATCCTGGTGGAGAGGGCTTTGGGCATGAGCTCAGAACCTAATGAAAACCAGGGGAAACAGGTGAAACCAATGCACAGAAAACAAATGATAATTGTTCAGCACTTTTTGCCACAGTGGGGAGACGGCATCACTGTGCAAAAAAATATTTTAAGATGCAAGCTTATATGTACTGCTCTATACAAACACACACAACTGAAATGAAAAATAAGAACTGATTACACTTATAAAGACAGATCTTTTTGGAGCTGTGGGAATCAAAAGATAGTAATGGGAGACTCACTGATCATTGTATTTTAAAAATGTATAAATACATATATATGTATAGGGAGAGAGAGATCAATGTGAATAAAGTAGTTACTTGAACTGGCTTTCGAGAAATAATCCTAGCTGGACTGAATCTCTAAGTTAACACTAATATTGAAGCTCTTACACAGTTCTTTTTCTTCAAGGCACTAAATAGACATTATTGAAGTATTTTGTAAAATCTCACTTGAGTAAATTAAAATAAGATATCAATGAAAGGAGCAGATATTAAATAAAGTATTTAATATCTGAAATACAAAATCTTAAATCTATTATAAATATGCTTTTGGCGTTTGCCATTTGTATTGCTGCAAAGAGTTGTTTATTGACTGCTTAGATTAAAAAAATGAACATCTCCCATCTCTATAGTTAGCCCCACAGTTTCAACTAAATATGAGTGGCTATGCCACACAATTTGATAGAGAGACAATGAAAATATTAGACTGCTATGCATAAACTAGATAAAGATAGATTATAATGCATTGTTGGAGTTGCCTGCTCACGACACTTAAAGAATTGAGGGGGTGACAGACACTGTATAGTAATTTGCATAATTATTAATGCTAATTTAGAGTCTAATGAGACAAATTGAAGCACATCAGCTCCTCTTGTGCCTAATTATAAAAATAGGAAAAAATAAAATTCAATGTAATTTACAACCACAAATATTTATTATAAATGAACACGTATAGGTTTTTTTCCATAACATTGTAATTAAATGGAATGAAACTTCTAATTATGTCAAATAAACAATTTCAAGATTCATTGTAAGAACTTTACATAAAATCTTTTAGAAGTATTTGGAAACTTGTTTTCAAATAAACAGTTTTACCACATCCACTCTACCATTGCACCAAAACAGTCACTTCCTGTTAATTGGTTGCTTTGCTTGTTTCTAAATCTCCTGGGTAAAATGGAATGAAGGGAAGATGGACTATTTTATTACTGTTAAATTTTAGTGTTCATATTAAATTATTTAAGAAACTGGTCCAGCAAGGTAGCACATCTTTACATAAATGAAAGATTATGCCAAAATTCCAAAGCCAATGCCAAAAAAAAGAACAGAAAATGAAAAAAAAAAAAAAAAAAAAAGGGGGGGGGGGGGAAAACCAAAGAAAAAGGAAAAAGAAGTGGTATCATAACTGGACTATTGTTTTTAAAAACAGCCCATCTTACCCTGCAGTTCATCTTACCCTTGTTGTTTCAAACAAAAAAAGCTGACAGACTTGGACATGACAGCCAACTCCAGCGCCAGACTCTGCCTAGAATTCTGCAAGGAAAAAAGTAGAAAAGTACCTTTCTGATGTAGTTGCTCCTATGCCCTGTTAGCCAGACACTTAGACACCATAACACTAACAGATTTCCCAATAAGCCCACCATCATCAACTGTTTTAATTGTTCTCGTTTCATTTAAAAAGCAGTACCAGTAAAGTCAGATAGGACTGGGAAGAAAAGAAGAGTGGAAACATTTGCTGCAGTTGTCCCAATTACCACAAGTTCACACCTTACCAAGGACTGAAACTGAGTGCCACCTAGGCCCATGAAACAGAGCCTGGTTAGGGGCTGACTGTCATGTACCCAAGGTAACGTCATGTCCAGCACCATATCCCACAGTTTCCTGGGAGTGAGGGGTGTCAGCAAGACATGTATGAGTTCCCTCTATCATGTATCCTCCAGCACTAACCAAATGTTTTGTGAAGAAGCAGCACTTAATAAGTTAATGTGAGTATGGCTCACATTATATTGTTTCTGATGGAAAGTTATTGCCGTTAGGTGAGAACTTCCATGCTTGTGTAAAAGCCTACTTTTAGATGACTTTTGGCTCTTGAGATTTTATTTTTTTTTAAACAATCCTTAGAATGATGCCTTTGAAAGTTTATTAAAAGCTGCACTGAGTCAAAGGCAAAACAATATAAGACAAGGACAGAGTGTCAGCCTTAATTATGAAAAAACAGTTTTTCTTCATGAAAAACTATTACCCTACAAAGATATCTTTTGAAATTTATGTCTTTTTTT